AGGAGGGAGGGAGCAGCTATGTGGGGCTTAGTTGCTGGCTGAGGTTAAACCATGACACACAGCAAAACCAAGAGCATCTCTTCTTTGGCCAATTTGCTCCCCTTTGAAACTCCACTGTCTCTTACTAAACAGGATCTTGCAGCAGCTGGCATATACCACAAAGAGTGTCTACACAGTTTGTGTACCCTTTCTTCATTTTCCGGTATTTTTAGCCAATCTTTGTAGCTTGTAGTACCCTTAACTGTTGTGTTGGGTTTTTTTTTAATTCTCCTACTCACTTAGCTAAAAAATAGACAACAGCAGTTTCAGATACATAGCAGAAACCTTTCTTAAGCACAGAACCAAACATAATAGTGCCTAACATATTTCTGAGACAAGAAAATAAGACGGATATTCCAGGCATAAAAACTGCACACACTTAAAAATGAAATGTGTGAAAAAAAGAGAGGCACATATTTCACTCTTGAAACCTTGTATGGCATACGGATCAATCAGATTCGAAGTGAAGCACAAAACTGTAATTCTATTTCAAAATATGGACTTGCACACTTTATACTGATGTTTTTTCTGTATAGGTTGACAGCATACTGGTAATTGGTTTACTCTGTATGTGTCATACTGGTGGACAGAGGTCATTCCTAACTAACCACAAATGTAGCAGCCAAGATACAGAGATTACAAAGGAAACTTACCAATGCAGTGTAATCTAAGTCACGCAAATCAGAGCAGAGTAGACCAGCAGAATTTCTAATTACACTGATTTAAAGTAAAACATTTGTGTACACGTAATCGTTTTGTATTACACCTTTGCTGATATCTAGTTTTACACCTTCTACTGTTTCGGCTCTCTACTTCGATACAACACTTTGAGTAAAAGAAATCATTGCAAGGAGAGCTTCCAAGCAGTTTTGCAGCTTTTGGTGGATGATCCAAACTCCCTCAGTCCACCACAGAGGAATTATCAGCTCAGTACAGTGTAGAGTATCTAAAGCGCTTTCATCTCTGCTAGGAGCAGCAGCCTCAAAGCAACATCCACCAGCTCAAATGAGTCCAGTGTTCACTCTTATTTTATTACTTATTTTAGATGATTGCACAAATACTTTCTGAGCTTCCTTTGTGATCTGCTTTCTGAAATAGAAGAGCAAAAATGTGCAATAACACAAAATAAGGGCTTTATGTGATCTGAGGGCAACAAGTATTCAAATCCTTCTCCTCTTAAATTTAACCACAAGATGAATGAGACTGACAGCCTATTTCAATATTCCCTTTCAGCTCTATCTTTGAGATTAGTTTCTATTCATTTCCACAGTTTGTAGAGTAAAAAGAAAAGGAAGCCGTAAAATTATT